CTAATAATGGAATTGTAGGATCGAATGGCAGGTCAATTTTTAGTTCTCTAAGTGTTCTCCAGATGTCTTTCTAAAAGAAACGTATTAGTTTGCATTCCCACCAGCAGTGTATAAGTGTTCCCTTTTCTCCACATCCATGCCAGCAACTCTGGTTTTGGGATTTTGTGATATGGGCTAATCTTACTGTAGTAGTTTTGATTTGCATTTCTCTAATGATTAAGGGTCTCTCTTTACTTGATAGCACAGTGTGAACACATGGTCACTTTGCTTACCCTCTTTTTAGATATAAATGGTAGGAGTTCAATTAAAACTAGTTTAAGCAAACAGAAGATTTATTGAGTCATGTAAACTGAGCAGTTCAAGGATGAAGCTTCAGAGAACCATGGATCAAGTATCAAGCGCTCCATGTCCTCGGGTGTCAGGCTCCACCTTTTGGCCCCACTTTCTTCTGTGCTGGCTTCATTCCCAGGCAGACTTTTCCTTTACAGTGACAACGATGACTTATCTTCTGCCTATTTAGCAATTGCTGTTGAAACACGGACTCTTTCTCCATTATTTCAACAAAAGTTTCAATATTGAGTCTTTCTGGCCTGGTCTGGGGAGTGTCACAATCACTGAACCAATGTCTGTGGTCAGTGGAGTAGAACTGGCTCTAAATAGGCCAGGCTGGGGTAGGAGTAGTGTGATGAACTCAACCCAATTTGCCTGTTACTTTTCTGTTTTAGCATTAAAAGTTTCATGGCCAAGAAAACCCCACAGTTCAGTGCAAACCAACACAGGAGCCCACCCTGCAGATGAGAGGAGTATGGTCAGCCACATCTGACTCCCATAGACTAAGAGTGAAGCTGGGGGGCTTTGCAAGAGGAACCTCCAGAAGAAAGAGGAGTGAGTGCCCGCTAGGCAGGTAAAAGCCACAGAGTAATGTCCTCTCCATTCTCTTTTCTAGATTAGCAGCACCTGGAGGACAGGAAATGAATCTTATTTTTGTATCTTTGGGGAAAATGAGCACATTGCCCCCACATAGGAAAACTTCCGAAGAATTTCTGCTGCTTCTTTTGCAACCTTATTAACTGTTTGAAAAAATTCCCTTAGAGAGACAAATCTAACACTACATAGCTCGTAGTGAATTATACATGATCATTTTCAGAAGTATTTAAAAATAGTTTATAGTCTTCATAGCAATTATTCAAATGTCATCGTGCTGAAAATGGAGTAGGTAGAGAGTTTTAATTAAACTTTCAAAATCACTGAAGTGCTGTGATTCACAAGGTCTTTCTCCCTTTTACAATTAAGATAAAACTTGCGGTGCATTTTCTTTACTCTCATATCTAACGTATATTGAAAAATGAAACTTAAAATACTCTACTAGTGATCTGAAAAGTGATTGTCTAGTTTCCGTTGTGCTGTTGTTTAATTAGAGCTGAGTAGTGGACAGGAATTGTTTTTCTTCGGGCAGGGTGTGGCTTTTGCTCTGAAACCTTTTTCCTGTAACTTGTAACTTCTGACCTGCTCCAGCCAGCAATGAATTATGCATCACGATCAGGAATTTAAAGGAGAATTAACTGCATAAAGAGGTTTGCATTTAATTCTAAAAACAGGATAAGATTTTTAAAATATACCGTGCTAATGAATAACTGCTGAATCTTGAGTCTAGTTCAAGGGAGAAAAACAAAGTATGTCTGACAGGCTGTTTCGAATCTGACACTGCCCATAGAGGCAAAGCCTCTACTTGTAGTTAGTTTTTGCCAATTTATTTATTTCTAATTGATTCATATATGTATGGAGCACATGCAATACTATGTCACATGCATAAAATGTGTACTGATTTGTCAGGGCTTTTAGGGTCTCCACCTCGAGTATTTACCATTTCTATGTGCTGGGAGCATTTCAAGCAGTCTCTCCCAGCTATTTTGAAATATGCCAGGCATTGTTAACTACAGTTACCATATTCTGCTACTGAACATTAGAACACAGTCCTTCTATCTAACTATAGAAGTAACTAACTGTTTGCCAAGTCAGTTCTCTCTGGGGCACCTCATTCATCTGTAAATAACTAGCTTACACGACTGCCTCCAGTTCATTTCAATCTCTAACACAAAATGAGTTTAAAGGGTTGACATATTTCTAAGATTTATATAAAATTCTCCCTTCAAAAGCTGGCTGAAAGAACACTGAAAATCAATATTATTATCTCACCTACATAAATAAAACGATTATTTAAAAATCACATCTGAATTAAAGAATTTATGTTAGTTATATGTCAGTTGATTATCATTAAATTCCACTGGAAAAGAAAGTGCAGTTTGGGAAAGACCTCAGCTCAAGCTGGGGAGTGAATTGGTCAACTGATGATTCCACGTTCTTTGCTGGTTTAGATGTGGGCACGTGACTGAATTTTGGCCAAAGTGACTGAAGAAGATGGTTGCTGGAGGCTTCTACGAGAGAGAAGAAATCTGCATGTCAGTTCTATTACCCACTGGAAGTCAAAAATGAATCATATGGTCCCCATTGCTATGGGTAGTTATCTTTACTATCAAAGGAACTAGTAGCCAACGCTATTAAAAGGCAAGCAGAAAGTCAGAAAGAAACCAGTGCCTGATGACATCATTGGGTTGCTATTTCCACTAGTTCTGAAGTCTGCCCTACTGCTGGAATTCTTGTGCCACTGGATGATAAATAGCCTTATTATTTAAGCCCATTTGAAACAGGATTTCTCTTGTGGTTGAAATGGTAAACATACTGAGAATAACACAAGTTTGCTGCCAAAAAGTCCTTATGTATCATTTCACTCCTCTGTTTGTAACTATTTTATCTCACAGAGGCAGAGCCCAGACTGCATGGGACTGACTCTCTGATCTGACCCAGTCACACGCGCAGTAACAGTGGATAAAGGGAGTCTTTCTCTTCTGATGCCCATCCAGCTGCTATCTTCACCACTCATCTGACCTATATGGCAGTCAACTTTGTCCACTCTTTAAACAATCACGCATCTAGTGAATGAACAAACAGCCTGTAATATATAATCCTATCCCCTGAATGCCAGAAAATTTAAGTTCTGCTAAATTGGACATGCCACAAATTTCCCCAGTACACAGCTTTACCCTCTTGTTCAAATTGGGGAACATTTTTTCTGGTCATAACAATAATAACTGCTAACATTTACCATGTGCCAGATAGTGTATGCTGAGTACTTTATGTCCTTTTTCTCATTCATATGACAATAACTGAATGAGGTTGGTTATGTAACCCTCATTTTGTGGATGAAGAAATGGACATTCAAACAGGTTGAGACACTGGCCATGACTGCTCGGCTTGTGAGTGGTAGCGTGAGCATTCAGATTCAGGTCTGGTAGATTTAGGAACTGAACTACCTAGCCTCCACCAACTCTGACACCCCCCAATTCTTAAGATGCCCAAATCTACCAACACACAGGCCAGCCTTGCTGCTTGAAACTGGAATTTATCAAGGCACAAACTAATAACCAGTAAAATATATCCAGGCTCAAATTGTCTCTGTAGCTGTTTCCAGATCTTGGTTATAGCTACCTCTTAAATTCAGACTGAGGGGACCAGCTAGCAGGGGTGTCCAACCTTTTTTTTTCTACCACACTTGAAAGAAGAATTGTCGTCTTGGCCCACATATTTAATACACAAACACTAATGAAAGCTGAGGAGCAAAAAAACAAACAAAGGAAAGGTCTGTGCATAATTTTTGTAATATCTGACATCACAGATAAGCAAAACAGATAACAGATAATCCACAGGTGGCCCATGGGCTGCAGGCTGTATTGCAGACTTTATAATATCTATGGTTTACTACTGCAGGTTACTAATCCAAGTACGGTGTTTATAAATCCTTAACATTTGAGGACATTCCATGTGACTAGTATTTTTAATTCTTTTTTTTTTTGGAACAGAATCTCACTCTGTTGCCCTGGGTAGAGTGCTGCAACCTTAAACTCCTGGGTTTAAACGAATCTCCTGCCTCAGCCTCCCAAATAGCTGGGACTAGAGGCGCAAGCATGCTTGGCTAGTTTCTTAATACATATTATGCTTTTTTGAGTACTTGATATACAGTAGTGAACAAAAAAAATATGTATCCTCCTGGAGCTTGCATTTTAAGCAGGGGGAGTGGGCAATGAAACGTTCCATTTAATTCAATAACAATTAATGAATTACTCATCTTCTATGCCAGAATCTGTGTTTGGCACTGCAGATACAAAAAGAAAAAAGACAGTTATCACCTCTTTGCCAACTGTGCCTGGGCAACTCCAGTGTTGACAAATAAAACTACTTATGTTTAGTAATTTCTCCTTCTGCTAGAAAGCTAAAGTTACATTATTCGACTGTTTGACTAATCTTCCAATTAAAGGCAGGAGGATGATCCCCCATATTCATCTGTCATAAGAAGGGACCATTTCTCAGCTGTAATCCATTACTAATCCCTGTGGGACTAACGTGGGTGTTTAACCTTACTCGTAAAATTTCGTAGGTAAAGGTGCTCACTTCTCCACAAAACAGACTGCTATGGTAGATACACGTTGTATCTATCTCAACTCTCTGGAACTGGAGGAAGCTTCTGTAGACTTGTGCTGGACCCTGGCGCAGACAAAGTCATTTTCTCGGCCGCCACCTAAGCCTCCAGGTGCACATTAACTAGCGAATGGCAGTAGGCCAACGGTTTGGCCATTGCCAGGGGCCTTTCTTGGATTCCCCGAATATTAGGTACCTGAAGGCCACTCAGGTCTAGGACGATAAGAAAGGGGCTTTGTGGGAGACAGGAACGAACCTCTGTCCTAGGTCCAGTTGGACCCGGCCAAGGCACCTGGCTGACAAATCGGAAAGGAAATTACGTTCAAGGCTGGCTCGGGCACCCAATCCAACAACAGGGCCCAGATTCCGCGGCCGGTCCCCGCGGGCTCCGAGCCGGTCGGCGGCCGGCAGCTGCGCAGGCTCCGAGCCCCTCCCCCTCCCCCCGGCGCCGGGCCCCGGGAGGCTGCGGCCGTGCCCGGAGGCGCGCGCCCGCGACTGCGCAGGCGCCTCAGGAGGAACTCAGCCTCGCCCCCTGTCCCTGGAGGTCTCCCCTCGCCCCCGAGGACCCGCGCGTGCCGGGTCCCGAGAGCGCCGCGTTCCGCGCGCTGGAAAGAAGCCGCGGCGGCGGCGGCGGCGGCGGGTGAGTATGAGCCTGGCGCGCCGGTCGTTCGGGAGGGAAACGCCACCCCTCCCTTGGGACTTTGAAAATAGAGGACGCGACCCTGCTTCCCCCTCCCTCCACTACACGCACATGCCCTGGGCGCTGGCGGGGCTGTCCACGAAGGGACCCCAAATGGCAGCGAGGTAGTGGGCCTAGGGGGAGGCGGGAGTCGGTAAGGGAAGAGGAAAGAAGATTTAGCAGGTGGTTGTGAATTTGGGAAGAAAAGCTGCGTGCGGTGTGAAGAAGAGTGA